GTGAGTAAAATAATAATCCACTTTCTTGATATTGCAGAATTCAAACAATAAATGTAAATATCCTGAAGGGCGGGCCTGATGCAAGCGGTAGAGTCTTTCCGCCTGTGACCGGAAGGTCCCGGGTTCGAGTCGCGGTCTCCTCGCATTGCACAGATGAGGGTAAGGCTTGCCACTGACACCCTTCCCTAGACCCCGCACAGAGCGGGAGCTCTCTGCACTGGGTGCGCCCCTTTTAAATGTAAATATCCTAATCCTTTGGGCACAGCCATATAGGAAGTATTTGGGTAGACTGTCACTATGCTTCATGAAAAAAACTTATTTTTGCTACTGTGCTTTTGCTCAAAGTTTGACAAATCTTTCCACAGCAATGGAATGACCCAAATAGTCTTTTAAAGTGTGAATGCTTGCAATTTATATAGCAATATAGTCACTATATTGCTGTGTTGTTACTTGCTATTACTAGTATTTTTCTAAGGATAAATGGGAAAAGAAGTCCACTCCCTCTGTTTTTAAATATATGGCACCTTTGATATTTTCAATTTGTTTGACTATTTGTCTTTTCTATACACTTTTGAGTAAAAGGACATCCAAGGTATGCTCAAAGTTATTTTGATGACAGTTTTAGCGGTATGCTTTCCACTTTAGTACTTATAAGTAAATAATTAAATAAATTTGTCGGTCAAAGTTTGAGAAAAAAAGATCAATGATACATGGAACTCTAAAAAAACAATGATGCAATGAATCTTAAAACAAAAGGTGTAATCCTGAGCTGAGAGTATGATATCATCTTATTATTCTAATCTTGTTAAATGTACTAGAACGATTTATTTTCTGGCATGAAAGTAACCTCTTGCTATCCTTGTCTTTAGAAGCTATTGGTTAGGACTTAAGAGAAGAGTAAAATAATAATCTAGGTACTTGATATTTCATATTTCAAACAATAAATTGAAATATCCTAATCCGCTGGGCATAACCATATAGGAAGTGTTTGGGAGACTGTAGAGACATTACCCCAGCCAGATGATTTATCTCTTACAAATCAGATGCATTTCATTCTAGTTGTAGTATATCTTTTGAAGAAACTGCTGTAATTTCCTTGAAAGATGATGCTGTGGCAACTGCTTCAGTGAAGTCACCACGAGCAGGTTGGTTACTATTGACTATTCCCTTTTCATCATCTTGGGCAATCTCATTATCAGAGAACTTAAGGCTTTTCTTTTGGTGTATCTTGCTAATCATCAATCAAGAAAGAAATGTCTCACCTAAAAATCGTGATTGGTGTCTCCCTATGTATACATTGTTCGACCTTGCTTGTGAGCTGCGACCTTTTCTTTGCTGTTGGAGTAGGACTTTAAAAGTTGAAATCCAACCATAGGTTGTATTTATCTACAAATTTGTATGCTTGAAAACCTATCGTTCATTTGATTTGAGCTTGCTGAAATTCATATATGTGCAGTAAATTGTGTTCTACACTGACCATAGTTTACAAGTTCAAATGAATCATCCAAGAAACTAGGATTGTTTCTTATGAGAAATATCATAACTCAAGTTCATTAATTCTACACCCCCACCAAAAAAATAAAGTCCTATTCATTCAAAACGGCAGCTTTCGTCCATGTTAAACAGCTTCATTTTGTAATGTTGCAACGGACACAGTATCTGCAATAGCGGATTAGTACAGTACAGTTTTTTTTAGAAATTTTAGTGCGATTTAGTAGGTAGGGTGCCTGTGTCAAAATAACATATCAGATATAATGCAAAGAAAGAGACAACATCAGGCATGTAGGCTTTATGCAAGCGACCTGCTTTCTTATTTAGGTGAACAATTTTCTTAGCATCCTTTTTCCTTCTCTGAGCTTCAGACACTCTGCAGAAAACCAGTTGATGGTATTGTGTGTGGTTTTTATCAGCAGCAGACTACGATGCTTCATTTCACGTATGATGCATGGTCATACGTGATGGCACTGATACCCTTTCATTTTATAGCCACATTTGGAAACAATCCTTTAATCTTTAGAGCTCAAAAGTGTAGCTGCACAGATGGTGAATTTCCGTATATACAGCTCCATATTTCCTTGTAGACTTGCCACACATATTATTCATCCAAAATATCTTGATACTGGACATATAGTGTCGATGATTTTACTTGGACACAGTAGAACCAGAGAGGTCCAAATAGGTTTGCTTGATGGTTATACTGGCCATATAGCTTTGGCTTTGTAGCATGTCATAAGCTTGGACCCAATTAAAGGGTTAGGAATTATCATGTTTTACATGGGACCTTTACACTTTTTTTTTGCTTTACGGAAAGGGACCTTTACACTTCTACATACAGTATGAGTCTTTGTTATTGTTATAAACTGAAATTATGCTATTAGCGTGAGCTGGAATTAAATGATTTCTGAATTTTGATGATTAGTTCCTCTACTATCAGCTTTTGGAATGTAATCTGGCGTGGGGCTCGAACTCCACCTTCTTTTGCTGTCGCATGATACTCTGTTTGTTCTGTTTGCTACTCTGAACAAATCCTAAACTCTGCTATATTTCCGTTCATAGTAATGGAAATGGGGTATATCCCTAATTCGAAAAAAAAAGTTCCTCTACTATTTGGTCTGGCAGGCAGGCAGCTTCCTTTTTTGTTTCATGATGATGTTTGGGAATCACATTGTCTGATACTCTAGTGTCTCCATGGAGTGTTGTGTGCATGGCAACATGGCAAGCCATGACATAAAGCATTCGCCAGAACCATACAATAACCATAGGTACACCTCATTTGAATGATAGAAAAGATAAGATTAAAGGATTGTTCATATGCTTAGCTTCAATAGCTCGCAAGTTCACAAGTGTTTTTTTGTAAGATGCTGCTGAACTTCTCGGTTGGCTCGCAACTTTTTTGTTTCATGATGAGGTCCGGGGATCGCATTGCCTAGCACTTCTATGGAGTACTGAGTCGTGTGCATAGACTCGAGTGCTCTCCTTTTGGTTCAGAACATGCATGGCGCGAGCCGTGCCGCAAAGCATTCGCTAAAAACATATAGAAAACCATCAGAACATCTTATTCATTAAAGAATAAGAGGTAAACTGTACGTAAGCCAGCACGACAAAGTGATAACAGCGAATCTTGAGAACCCCGGTCTGTCTTTGTGTGCGCCGGGCACGCCACCAGCATTATCGTTCGCCCCTCTGTGCAGTGTACGACTCATATTTGAGATGCGGTAACAGTTAACACAGGTAGTTCGCGAGTCTCTCGGATCCCATATACTACTCGAGTACAACGTACGCTGATGCAGATGATTACGAACCGCTGCTGACGAGTTTGTTCTCCCATCCGTTTAGATGCGTAGCATCCATCCATCATATACTGTGCCAGAGGACTCGCACACAGCGTGATACGAATCCTGGACCTGGAGACGCACGCAACTCCGCCAAAATACAGCTCGTTTTGCCGTGGCGGCAGCTGCAGACGAACGAGCGTTACCAGCACGGGGATCTCTGCGCGGTCAGACTGCCGCTGCACGTTTCGCCTTGTTGGGGAGCGCGGCGGGGACAGTCGCATCTTGTCTCGCCCGCTGTCTCTCCTCTCGTCTCGCCTCGCCTCGCCGCCCGTTACCAGCAGCCAGGGGCAGCGCGGCTGGGACAGCATCCGCATGCCCGCGTGCGTGCTCCCCGCGGACGACGAGACGAGTGCCGTTGGGCAGAGCAATCAGCCATTTTTATCTCGGCACGGCACCCGCTGCGTGCATCTGCAGGTGAATAATGGAGTGGGTCAGTGAGACGTGACATGATGAGCCATGAAGGTCGATGTGGAGGCAGGCCGGCCGGAGACAGACGGAGCGCAGGTCAGGCCTTTCAACAATGATGATGGCTCCCTCCAAGCTTACACGTACGTTCCAATCCAGGCTCCGCCCGGCCGGCCCACCGACGAGATGAGGCGCGCCATCAACCTCCGGCCTCGAACCAGTCCCGATCCCGATTGATCGATCGGTAGCTTTTTTTTTTAGAGTTCAAGGTGGCCCTCGGCCTTTATATTGCAAAGATCTAAACCGTTAAGCTCCTTACAATATTCAAAGTTCAAAAAAACTCCAACAGAAACTTAGAAGGCCTCAACAGGCAAACAACCACCCAGAATACTAGAACAACTACTAACATCATTACATCCCCCGGCTTCCGCAACACTCGCAACACTAAATCAGTTTCTTTCACGAGCCAACCTTTTCAGATCAACTTCATTTGTCAGCAGAGCATCAGCTGTACTGATCTTCCAGCCTCTCCCGGATTGATATAAGATGCGATCCCATTCATCATTCACCCGACTAAGCCAGGTAGACGGTGAGGACTTGTGGCGAAACTTTTCAGTTTGTCCAGGTGATCCAGAAATTCTGGGACTTTCTCTTTTGGACACAGAGAACTCCAATTTTGCAGCATTGCTGTTACCTTCATTATCAGCACCCTCACATCTACCCAAAGAGTCCCCTTAAAACACAAACTGTTCCTTAGTTTCCTAAAGCCCCACATGGCAGCAGCACAAAAAATATGCAAGTCTACAGATACAGAGTCCTCGGTGTGACGAGCTGACGGTGCATGCATGGTGGTGCACTGGCGCACCAAGATTAGCCTAGCGCTGTCATGCCCACACCAGCAGCAGTAGCTGCATGCTCCTGCGTACTCGTACCACTGCGTATAGACAGCCGCCGGCCGGATCGCCTTTTGCCCTCGGCTTCCGTACCCTACCAGCACACATCACACCGCGTTGTCACGTTCCCTTCTCCTCTTTTAAGCACCCTGCCTTTTTCCCCCTCCCCTTTCCACCTGCGTTCTTCGATCACATCCCGGCCGGCTTGAGCTAGCTTTGCTTCCTCCACTCCCCTGTCAGAGGATTCCTTCCTTTATGCTTCTCGACTTCTCGTTGCGCTGCGCCGACATGATTTGATCAGCTGAGTCCGCGTGAGGACTGAGGTGCTAGGCATAGGCAAGCTGCCGGTAAAGATCGTCGATCGGAGATGGCGGGCAGTGGTGGCTCGCTGCTGCGCGGCTTCCTGTCCCTCTTCTTCCTCCTGTTCCTCCACATTGGCCACGCCAGCTGCTGCTTCTCCCCCGGCCCTGCCGCGCGGGCGCGGGAGGAGGACGAAGCAGCGGACGCCGATGGCGATGGGAAGGTAGGCGGTGGAGGTGGGAGCAGCAAGAGGAGGAAGACATCGCCGTTGATCTTCTCCCCGGCAGCGTCGTCCTCTGCCGTTACCAGCGATAGAGTCAGAGGAGCCCCGGGCAGGCACGTGTCGTCTCTCGCCACCAGCCTCCGGTTCTACCTCCACCGCATCTTCTCCTCCTCCGGGTCCGGGGCCAAGAACGGCGGCACCGTTGCGGGCAGCAGGGAGGAAGAGGAGGTGGTGACCACCACCGTATCTTCGCCGCTTGCCCAGTCTCTGCCGCACCAGCCTTCGACGTCGGTGGTGCTGTCCACGCCGTCGTCACCGTGCGCGTCGTCGCCGTTCATGTCGCCGCTCTCGGTGCGCTCCCTCAGCGCCACCCCCGTCCCGTCCTCGCCGCAGAAGCTGATGCAGGCGAGCAGGCAGTCGTCGCGGTCGTTCGCCGCCCGCGGCGACGTGTTCCCCTGCAAGGTGTGCGGCGAGGTGCTGGGCAGGCCGCAGCTGCTGGAGCTCCACCAGGCGATGAAGCACTCCCTGTCGGAGCTCACCCACCTCGACTCCAGCCTCAACATCATCCGCATGATCTTCCTCGCCGGGTGGAAGCCCGCCGCGGCATCCGGTGCCGGTGCCGGCAAGGCCCCCGCGGTGCGCCGCATCCTCAGGATCCACCACAACCCGCGCGAGCTGGCCCGCTTCGAGGAGTACCGCGACCTCGTCCGCGCCCGTGCTGCCCGGCGCTGCGGCGAGGGCGCCGTCGTGGAGGAGCGCTGCATCGTGGACGGCAACGAGCGCCTGCGCTTCCACTGCTCCACCATGCTCTGCTCCCTGGGCGGCGGCGGCGTGTGCGGGAGCCCCTACTGCTGCGTGTGCAGCACCCTGCGGCACGGCTTCGCGGGCAAGCAGGCCGACGTGGACGGCATCGCCACCTACGCCTCCGCGTGGGCCGCGCACGCGTCCCTGCCCGCCGACGTGGAGCGCGAGTTCGCCTTCCTCCAGGTGCGCCGCGCCATGCTGGTGTGCCGCGTCGTGGCGGGCCGCGTCGCCCGAGGCCCCGCGGACGACAAGGTGGCCTACGACTCCATGGTCCCCGTGCGCGGCGGCGTCAGCGCTGTCGGGGGCGACGACGTCGAGCTGCTGGTGTACAACCCCAGAGCAGTGCTCCCGTGCTTCGTCATCCTCTACAGCAGCTAGTCGTCAGTAGCACAAGGCGGCCAGCCTGCACGCAGTACAGTCTGTTTGCTTGTCATAAACGATCGTAGTGAATAGTGCCTTTCCATCGTTTGGTCTCTCCCGAACAGACGGCTAGTGTATAGCCTTTCCACTGTTCCTTGCCCCCACCATCCCCCGTTCCGTTTGGTGGCTGCGCCGCTGCTATGGACTGTGGTCACCGGCCACGCACCGTGGGCCGTGGCGCTCTGGATTTCTGTTGGATCGTGCAATCAACAGTGGCCGATGCCGTCGTCTAATATGCCGGATCCGATGGAAAGCTTGATGCCTGATAGGGGTGGGTAGCCAAGTGCTGTGAATCTGTGATGATTCGGAGTTGAGCCTACCATATGCGAATGGGACGCGCCAGAACCATAATGTTATTAAGTTATTATGTAGTGTTGTGGTTGGCATGTTTTTGTACCTGTCACTGTTTGTTGGTCCCCTGTTACATGGTCTAATGGTTTCTGCACAATTATCCTCCAGACTCTTCATTTGCTCTCGATCTGTTTTCACATTTGCATCTGTCATTAGAATAGCGAAAGCTACAAATGGTTTCGGACCCTGTACCTATTTTCCCACTTGTGATAGTACGAAGACAAATACTCCATCGGTTCCAAACTGTAAGCTGTTCTAGTTTTTTCTAGTCACATAGTTTTTGTTAAACACCAAGATATATATTATATCTAGATATATAATAAAAAATATGTTTCTAGGCAAATCAAAACAATTTATAATTTGAAACGAAAGAAGTAGTTCTCTTGCATATTAATGCTCCATTTGTTTAGTAGAGCTTCATCCGGCTTTTTCCATGCACTAGTAAGAAATTGTTTTGTCTCTTTAAAAAAAACTAGAAGTTAATAAAATCGTTTTTTTTTGCTTTGTCAGCTCCGATTCATCCATGCAATGTAGTAAAAGTCAAAGCATGCTAAATGGGAGATCTTATAATGAATTTCTACATAGGTTGCTTGATTAGGTTAACATGTGACAGGTTTGATGGTTTGCTCTTCTAGCATGTTTAGAGTGTACTCTTACTGCTATTAGTGGTACTTGAATGCAAGAGCCTATCTTGGTTATAGTTCTCTTATATATATATATATATATATATATATGCTTGTTCTCTTATGTTGCTCATGTGAGCTTTTAATAATTGGTTTGACTCTTGTTGAGCATGTATGGTCCTTGTTGCTCTTATGGTTTGTGACCAAGTATGATGTTGCCAATATATGTTAAGTTAAGGTAGCAGCTATATTTATGACTTGGATGTGCTTAGTTGCTAACAAACCAAGTGATAGATAGATATCTATGTGTGCTGAAAATGGCTGCACGTGCAGTTTCAATTGTAATTAGAATTTCGTGGTGATAATTGTATTTTCTGTGGATGTGGTGAATACAAAAGTTGTAGGTAACTTTCTTATCTTACTTGTATTAAACTTTAATGATTTTAGGACAACAGGTCTGAGAGTTATAGATTTTATAAATACCCTGCTCAGGTTTTGTCTGTGTTCTGGACAGTGCTGCAATGTTATGTCTTTTTGACTAAGATAACCTTGGAATCATCTCTTGGTGACAATAAAAGAGTTGTAGTGCTTTTCATAAGCTTTCTAAAATATTAAAAACACCCTTTTTGGTGGCCTAGAACTCTAGATATAGATGTCTAAAGTTGAATGCTAGAATCTGTCCAAGTCTAGACAGATTTGCTTTTTCATGTTGATTTGTCTTGTTAGCTGTTGAATCATCTTGAGATGATAATAAGAAAGTTATAGATAACTTAATAAGCTTTCTAGAAAGTTAAGAATCATGTTTGTTGGATGTCTAGAACTTCAGATATACATTTATGAAATTCATGTTAGTTTTCTATCCTTGCTGTACAGTTTTGCTTACTTGTTGTTTTTGACCTAGTTAACTAATGAATCAGCTCTGGGTGTAAATAACATAGTTGTAGACAATTTCGTAAGCTTTCTAGAAAGTCTAGGATCACCTTTGTTTGACGTGTATATCTCCAGTTATGGCTAAAACAAGGGACTATTGTTCAGCTGTCCAGATTCTGTGCATGTGCTTAATTGATTGTTTTAACTTGTTCTTATTTTGGTTAAACATGTTTAGTTAGTTCTTGATTGATGAATGCTTGCGATAGCTGAACTTAAGTTAACTTGTGTACCATGCTTGTTGTGCTTGCTATCTCTATAATAGATTGTGATGTTTAGTTAAACAACTCTAGGTGCTGATGCCTTATCGTGTAACCATGTGCTTGTCTTGAATGCTTTTATGTGATGATCTCATGTTGCCATTCATCGCATTCATGCACTTGCATTGTTGCATCTAATCTAGGTGCGCTAGATGGCCGATGCGAGGAACTGAAGCATGTGATGTTGGAGCTGGATCAAAAGACGGTGTTTGGTCGACCTATCCCAAAGATGGAAGGACCCCTAGAGTGCATGCCTGGAGTGAAGATGTTCCACAAGATGGTGCGAGCTAACTAAACTGACTTTATGTCAGATCCCACGCAAGCCCTAGAGCATTCTAAGCCTCCTACCCTCTCTTTTTACAAATGCACTTGAGTATAACTTTTGTATGATGCATTAGGTTGATAGGAGTTGGATGAAATCGTTGATGCATATTCCTTACCTTGTCCACTATATATAAATACAAATACCCTTACTACTATAAGTAGGTCGTTCTATGCTTAGCCATGTTTAGAACTGTAAAAGTCGGGTGATTTTCTGTCACCTACGAGATATAGGTGGATACTCAGTCATGGTTGGCTATATTTGCTATCGTGGAAAATAACCATGTGATGATTATATAAATGGAGACCGGGCGAGATCTTATATGCAAATGGTGATGGTTGGCTATGTTGATCCCGTCCATGTCATTTAAGGACCGTACCGTTGTTGGACCTTCTATCGAGATTGAACACAGCCTTTCACTTAGCTGGCTGGATAAGTCGTTCCGACCGCAAAGCCGAGTAGCTCAATTTGGGCTGAAAATTTGAGATATATGACGCACACACTGGAGGAATGAAGGATGTGCGGCGGACAGGGATTGACCGTGGATAGGCTTGGCTTGAGCTACCTAGCATCCGGCTGCCCCCTGAGTGTGCGACTCAGCTCAAACCCACGGCATCCTGAATTGTACCAAAGGTGACTGTCGGTGTTTTCGGACCACCGATGAGTAAATTTGTATTTGTGCGTCTAGCTTGGATGATGTGCTCGGAGGACACAAGGGTTTATACTGGTTTGGGTGGAACGTCCCTACGTCCAGTTTCGCTGCTGCTCGTGTTACCGACACTTGGTTTGAAGAAGGGGTTACAGACAGGTGAGAGAGGGAGAGAATCCCAAGTCTCTGGTGGAAGAAGTGAACGGGTGCTGAGAGCTCGCTTGCCGCTCAGCCGTGTGCTCGTGTCATGCTCTTGTATTCCTAATCCCCTCTTTCATGGGGCGCCCTGCTTCCCCTTTTATAGGCGAAGGGAAAGCATGGGTTACAGAGGAGAAAAAGAAGAACGAGAGAGAGAAGAAGGCTTCTAGGGTAGCTGGGTCCTTCTTCTCCTTCATACGGGTCTCGTCGATCATGTAGAAGTCAATAGGGATGGCTCCATGTCATGGCCCTGTTCATCAATAGCACTATGCGTAGGGGTATGGCATGGGTCAGCTGGTGACTGACTCCAGACTCTTGGCGGCCAATCCATATAGTTCTTGGGTCCGTTCGGCCGATCCCAAGGGCTCATTGCCTTTCTTCGAGGAAAAACCATGGACTGAGAATCGACTAAGACTCGAACATGGGCCGGGATGCCCACGATGCTCATGCGCGCCAGGGTATTGGCCACTAGTGGGCCCATCCCTTTCCACCCCTCACTCTAAGGGTGCCCCAGAGTGGCTGTGAACCCATCGGTGGGCCAGCCTTTGAATTCCTGGTCCTGAATGGGCTGTAGGAGCATTTTTAGCTCTGTATCCCTCCTTACCTGCAACGGTTCTTGGCCCATCGACCGAGAAAACCGTCATCCAGTGTGTCCTTCGAGGGCATGGTCCAGAGATAGGGTGTGCATGATTTTTGGAGAGAGGTGACGTGATATGGCGCAGCAGGCGCATGAACCTAGGAGGACGGTTCGCCTTCTCGCCCTGCTCCATCCTATAAATAGCGGCCTCCCCTTCATGTTTCTGCACACTAAAACCACAGCCTTACCTTCTCTGTTTCTCCACCGCCGTCGTTCGGATCTGCCGTGCTTGCTAATCCACCGCCGGAGCTCTAGATCTCTAGCTTCCGCTTCTCCGTCGCCGCCTTTGCTTCTCCACAGCCGCCTCCATCCTCCATGGATTCGTGGTACCGCTTTGATGTTACCCATGCGTGCATGGAGGGCCTCGTCAAGTGTGGTCTTCTTCATAGGAGGACCAATGCGATGGAGTGGCTTGTGCCCGACCATGAGGATGCGTCGGCGCCACCCGACGGCTACGTTGTCTCCTTCACACTCTTTCGTGAGCGTGGACTCGCGGTGCCTCCGTACCCATTCTTCCAGGGTCTGCTACACCACTATCAGATCGAGCTGCAGCACTTGAACCCCAATGGGATCCAGCACATCGCTGCCTTCATCGCGATGTGCGAGGGGTACCTGGGGATCGTGCCCCACTTCAAGCTGTGGAGATATTTCTTCTCCATATCCTTGATCAAGAAGAAGAAGAGAGGCCGGGAGACCCCGGTGCCGATGGGATGTGCGGGCATCCACCTTCGGGGCAGCAGGCGGATGAGTACATGCCCTGCCAGCTCTTCAGATCCATCAAGGGGTGGCACTCGCATTGGTTCTACCTGAAGAATGACCCTGCCGCTCCCTTGCCGGTCTTTCTCTGGGCGCCTGGACAAAGAGGTACTGCCGTCATGGCCGTGGGGCCACCCATCAATGAGAAAAAGAGGATGCATGAGCTCCTCGAGGCCATTGCATTCTTGAAGACCGACGGCCTCCGCGGGGCCGGCGTCATCAGGGGGTATCACGC